AAGGGGGAGCTGGGCTGCAGGAAAGGTGCTCCCAGGTTGGGCTCAGCGGCCTCCCTCCCCGGCACCTCTCTGCCGTCCGCAGGGCTTCAGCTGCGCCAAGGCGCTCTACATCTCGGACGCGGACAAGCGCAAGCATTTCCGCCTGGTCCTGAAGCTCTTCTTCAGCAACGGGCAGGAGATCGGCACCTTCCACAGCAAGCTCATCAAAGTCATCTCCAAACCCTCGCAGAAGAAGCAGTCGCTGAAGAACACGGACCGTGCGTAGGGGCGGCCGGGCGCACGGGGCGGCGGGAGGGCGCTGGGCACCCCTCCTCCCTGGGTGCCCAGCTCCATGGCAGGGGACAGCAGGCGCAAGCCTGCGGTGGGATGCTCGCTGGGCTCGAGCAGTCAGGCCGGGTCCAAAACCCACTGGTGTCCTCCCAAGAAAGGCTGTATCCGGGTGCACCGGTGTCTCTTTTCTGAAGGGTTCGCCCACCGTGATGGATAGTGCCCTGCTGCCAGTATGGTCGCCACTCCGCAGGCTTCGCCCCCAGCTTTGCAAAGCCCAGTTTGGCTGGCTCGTCTATGGACAGAAAGGCAGCAGGGAAGTGCTAGTGCCTTCAGTGGTGGTTACACCCCTAACTGTGACTTCTCCTGCATGGGCTCGACTGAAACAGCGGTAGTTCAAGCTACATTCAGCCCTGGCAAGTGCTAACCCAGCCCGCTTCCCACCCGCAGTGTGCATTTCCTCGGGCTCCAAAGTCTCCCTCTTCAACCGCCTGCGCTCCCAGACTGTCAGCACCCGCTATCTCTCCGTCGAGGGGGGAGCCTTCATCGCCAGCGCCAGGCAGTGGGCAGCCTTCACCCTCCACCTGGGTAAGGAGCCTCGCGGGGCTGCTCAGCGCCAGCCCTGTGCCCAGAGCCGCCAGGCTGCGGAGCCGGCCCAGTGCGCCAGGCCGAGCAGGCTCGGGTTGGTCAGAAAGCCAAGCTGCATCTCTCTGCAGCCCTGGCTCTCCCACCTGCAAATCCAGCTCTTTGGGGGTCAGGAATTAGCCTGGGAAGGAAGGACCCAGGCTCAGAGTTCACCTTTGCCAAGGATTCCTGGTGTGACCTTGGCCATGTCACCTAGCCGCACTGTCTCACCTGTAAAACAGAGAGAAGAGCAGGGCTGCAGATAGAAACACGCGTTAATGGCCAGCACAGCCAACAAGGGCTGGTGCTATAGCACGGCTGTCTTTGGCCCCACTGGTTCCCATGGAGGTTCACCTCCTTGAACGGCAGAGCATTGCCCAGGCCCAGCAGCATCGCCCTTCCCGGCGCCTCCTCTCTCCTGGGAGGGAAGCGCCCCTGCGGGCTGCCAAATCCCAGTCCTGCTCCCCTGCTGACCCCTTGGGCGAGCAATGCTCCCTCCAGACGCTGTCGCCCACACCTGCAGAGCTAGAGAGCACCGCAGCAAGAAAGCGCCAGGAGCACGTTCAGACCCGGCGCCTCTTCCGACAGGGCAGCGCGGGTGAACGGGCTCCCTGGGGGCTCGGGCGGTAACGCTGCCTCTCTCCTTCCTGCAAAGCTGATGAGCGCTGCGCCCGGAGCGAGTTCCCGCTCAGGGAAGGGTACATCCGCTACGGCTCAGTGGTCCAGCTCATCTGCACGGCTACCGGTGTCACCCTGCCTCCCCTGGTAAGGCCCCCCCCCCCGCCGGGGCTCCGCGCGC